CAGAATAAGATTTTTAAGTTAGCCATTTTGGGGCGTGAGAATATACAGGAATGATTTAACGGTAGTTTCAATAAGGGATTTAGAATCCTGGTTGTTTGATAGTGCAGACAGGAGATTAGTGAGTAAGGTGAGGATCAATTGTAAGTTGAGTTGTGGGACTGGAGAAATTGGGGTCGAGGGCATTGATCCGAAGATTGCTGTAGCATATGTCATTGAAGGGTTTACTGTGGGGGAGGTGGAGTAGTGGATTTGGAAATCGGGGTTTTGGAGTTTCGAGTTGGCAGTTTTGGAGTGTTCGTAAGGTGTTATTTGCTACTTTTGTGCCAGAAATTGTTAAAAACCCCGGAAGTTGGCAGTATGTGGCCCGCCGCAGTTCCAGGAAGATGGTGTTTGTTCACGGGTTTTGGTACATACATTGACTGTATGATTACCAGCACATTTGACACACCTCGGAAGATGGCCACAGTTACTGGAACCGTGACCAAAGCGTTGGCACGAAAAGCACTGAGACGGACCGGAAGATATTAGAGCTTCGACGGAGATTTAAAGGTAAAACAAGTTATTTACAAGGAAAATATTTTTCACGTTTGGAGCAGCAGCCATGTGGACTAGACGTATAGGCATCGGTTTGTCAGGGGTACCTAAACGGCGTACGAATTTAACCGAAAATTTAAGAGACTTGAGTTCACTTTTAACTTCATCGGTATGGATATCAATCGGAATACCCTTTAAAATGACCTTAAGGGTGCGTTCTTCGGGGAGGATGAAGGTGTGGAATTCAATTTTATTCTAAATCAGGGTGGTGGTCTGGATTTTCGGAAGTGGGAGAGGTCGACTGTTTGGATGATAAGCGGAGCTACTGCCTTTTCGCTTACACGGTCTATTACCGCCCATAGCTAGTGTGTGTGTGTGTGTGTGTAAAATACAGAATAACACGTTATAGCGAAAACTCAAGCGTTATTATTTCAGACGCCGGTCCGTTGTGACCGTGCCGTCTCACGGTTGAACGATTTCAAGGACAAAAATGTTTGATTCAACATTGTTTGGCTTAAAATAGTTTTTCCATATGTATATAACACAACAACGTTTTTTTTTGGTTTTGTCGGTGGTAATAATATTATGCAACATAATAATCTAAATTTAGTAGTTACGTTTACAGTTTGATAGGGGGGGGGGAGGGAAGATTGAAGACCTTTGCTATAATAATATCGTATATTCCCACCTACAAAATTTTAGGGAAATATTTAGGGARGGGRCTTATGAAATGTTTGGAGGTTACATTGAGTATTTTTATAAAACTATCGGATATTTTTTCGCTCAAAATATGGCTGACTGATATCAAAAAAAGACTTGAGGATGAAACTGTAGGTGTGCTGTTACAATATTTTAATAAAATAAAATTCTATTAGTTTTATAAAACGGTAAAATTCTACATCAAAAATTTACCTACCTACCTACCTAAATATTACAGCAACTTACGAAGTGACTGGTGTAGTGGTAAGGAATACGACGAACAATTTAATACCTACCTATTTTAAAATTACGTAGTTTTCTAGAAAACATT